ACCGATTTTGAAACAAGGCGAGTAAAAAGACCATGCGGGACAAAGCCTTCTAGGAAATGAAGATACGAAGGACAAGGATCCGTACATGATGGCTCCATTTTACAAAGCTCTTCAGGTGAGGACCTCAGTTGACATGGTACAAAGTACTGAACGTCAGCCGGAGATGGAGAGTATTTGGCAATCAAACCGAACTGCTCCATCATGTCCAAGATGTCTTCCTTGTTGACGCCTTGCTCAATAAGAGATGAGAAAACGTGATCAACAAGCTCTATCTTAAGGACACCACTTCTCTCGAGCTCAAGCTAGTACTTGGAGTACACAGGATCCTGAAACAACAAATTCCCTCTTTAAAATAAGATCAATCTAACAGTTTTCCTTTAAAAATACCCTATTTATCTGGCAGTGGACCCAAAACATTTCCTTATTCCCGAGCTTGTTCGAGCTAGGCAATATTGAAATGGAGAAGAGGGGAGACACATGAAAGTTACAGAGAAAACTTAAAATGTTGTAAAGAGTGCCAACAACATAAAAAAACAAACGCACAAACAAACAGACAATCAAATTAACGTCTTTTCGTTAAGTGCAAGTGGGAGGAAGGTAACAAGTCCTGCCTGCGATCTGTGATCATCTCGACGAATAGAGGATTATCTTATCGTACCGCTTTTTTGAATGCTGGGATGATTATAAGCTTCTTGAATAGACTGATTAACCACTGCGCCTTCAGAATGACAGTACTGCGGTGTTTCACAATCTTTCCTAAGTCATGATAGAAATCAAACATGGTGAGAAACTGTTCATCGTCTTCTATGAAACACACATCCTTGGCATAGTTTTGAAGATGGACAATATTCGTGTGGTATACATTGTCAGCTACAATGACCTTTTCGAAATTAAACCATCTAGAAATATGAGAAATTTTATAATCAGTCTTAACTTACAAAAAGGTATACATCAGATAGCAAATTGCATGCGGCAAAGTTTGTAAATTTCTATTTGTAACTTTAGAATATAACTTGATAGCCAGATGAATTTCCTTTGTGGATTTATTACATCCACAAGTAATAGTATCATGTTAATAACAAGTAACAACGTTTGGAAGTATTCATCACCAATTCAGGAGAAAGCATTGACACACTGTTTGTCAACAAAAAATGTACGTTAAAGTACTCTCTACGCTATGACCTCTACTCCTTTGCCGGTGTTTTATGTGGAGGCAAAATACTTTACATATTTAGCTAGGCAGCACCGGAAAATTCGTCGCCTTGAAAGTCACTCGTACATCTCTTGTGGTTATATCATTATGCATCATACTTCACCTCAGTGGTATCTTCTCTCCCATACAAGGTTCCTGTCGAAGTACTTCCAGGATTCTCGCTCGAAGAGCATGAATTCTATCGGCAATAGTGCCATCATTGTCTTCTTCTTGACCTTTCAATTATAAATTGTGAAACAATTAGTGTTGTTGAGAGAAGCCACGGTGGGGCAGAGATTTCTCCTCGGACTTTCGAGGTTTCAGTATTCGGAAAGGTCTATTTCTACTGTAGCACGTTAAGTTACTTTTTGCAATGTATTACAAATTTCACTAGTTGAAGATGATTTGGTTAGCGGAAACATCAGCTATGGTATTAAACTTTGCAATCCAGATTAAAACAACAGAAATGAACAAAATAAAATAAATAAAATAAAGAAATTTAAGAAAATGAACGACACGTCATATATTTGTCGTAAGTTCGTGACATATCTGCTGGTATCCAGACCATTTGGCAATATCATCCACGACATAGCAGAGAAATATTAGCACATTAACATGGCCGATCTACGGAAACTTGTGAAGCTCTCGATAAAATGCCGTAAAGCTGAGTTAGATACACTTTAAATTCAACTTTGTACTTTGTATAAATCAGAACTGAAGAACACGTTTTAAAATATGTCCTATATTTTCTTAAATATGTGGCATATATTCCGCTATCCAGACTTTTTAAAAAATACATACTAAAAATGTCTAAGAATAACCGAAGCACTAACAAGGTGCAAACATCATAAGCAAATAAAAATCCAGAATGTGGCAAATGGATACTTGGAATAAGATGAGGAAAAGCAACCGCTAAATCTCCATTGAATCCATTCAACTCTATTTAACGATGAGTTTTTCGGTCCTTGATAGAAATCAAAGTACACCAAACCTTATTAACACATCATGTTGAACCCAAACACATAGTTTACCTTCTTCAGAGTTTCTTTGAAAATTAAAGAAATTCCAGAGTTTCCGTGCGAATGATTGGTCTCCTTGCGTATTATCAATGAAGAAGAATGGTCGGATCACATGTTTTCCATATTCCTTACTGGAAATCTCACCAAGTATCTTTGATGTTACAGTCTCACTATCTTCATATGGCTTGTCAGCGTGGGTGCCGACGATGAACACTGGAGGACGGAGATAGGGCAGCTTTCTAGGTGTTTCAATCATTTTTCTCCAGTTGGTCTCACATTATGAACTGTCACAAGCCACGATAGCAAATTCTCCAAATTTGTTTCATTGTTCGCGTTCTCCAAATTCAATTTCTGAGTTCCTTGTCTGACACATGGTTGAGCTTGTGCTTTCAGCGGCTTGTTAAGGTTGTGAACCAGGATGTACACGGCTCTTGACGAAAGAAATACCGTGTGAGCAGCATAGTGCACATGCTGACCCGCAAAATCTCAGAAATCTATGGCTACCAAGGATTCTTCCTTATTGTTTGCTTCTTCATCATCAGTTCCTTTAACGAACATATCCTTCAACAGTTGATCAGCATGCTTCCTGACGACAGTAAGGAGCGTGATAGCCTCAACCGTCATTTTGATCGTACGGCCATCAAAATCTTTTTTTTTCTGTACTTGCTGTGTTTCAATTGATGGCCTGGGAATATCTGCGCATTTGGTGTACACCTTTTTCTCAGAAACCTAGAATTTTTTTTGAAGGAAAAATGTCAGAGTTAGGAGAAGAGGTTGCATAACATAGAACACCGTCGCTGTAGTAAGCTGTAAATAGCCATTGGTTATATCGAAGTGAAGATATGTGAAGATATCATGTATGTAAAGATTGATTATGAAAATAATTTTTACCCTTTCCTTTCCCAAGCTATTTTATTCTAAGTTTTGAAGGGGAAAAGTGTCCACACCTTAGTGTCGAGACTCCACTCTCTTTCCACTTCTTATATCGATCCCTTTTCAGCTTCGTTTTGAGGTTGTGCCCATTCGGACTTCTCTCCTGGGTTTTCTCTTTTATTACTGAGAATGCAGTGATATCGTTTCCTTGCTAACATTCTCGGCACATGTTCTGAAAATTCAGACACATCTGATTCTTCCGCATCGGTTGGAGTCCAGCTCTTTATTCGTTCAACTTCAATTTCAA